AAACCTGACTTTGACATTAAGGGTCCCAAATTCAAAGGACCAGGCTGGAAGATGCCTTCGTTTGGAGGGAAAGCTGATGTAGATCTTCCAGAGGCAGAGGTCGAAGGGCCTGTCATGAAGGTAGAAGGACCTGATGTCGACCTGCAAGGGCCTGATGTCGATGTTGAGGGCCCAGACGTGAAGGGTGGCTTCAAATTGAAAGGTCCGAAGTTTGGCAAACCCGATTTTGACATCAAAGGACCAAATTGGAAAATGCCTTCTTTCGGAGGAAAGGCAGACGTCGATCTTCCAGAAGGGGAGGTCGAAGGACCAGACGTGAAACTAGAAGAACCTGACGTCGACATTGAGGGCCCAGATGTTGAAGGTGGACTGAAGTTGAAAGGTCCAAAATTCGGTAAACCTGACTTTGATATTAAGGGTCCCAAATTCAAAGGACCAGGGTGGAAGATGCCTTCGTTCGGAGGAAAGGCTGATGTAGATCTTCCAGATGCAGAGGTCGAAGGACCAGACGTGAAACTAGAAGGACCCGATGTCGACTTGGAGGCACCAGATGTCGATGTGGAAGGTCCAGATGTGAAAGGTGGATTCAAATTCAAAGGGCCTAAATTTGGTAAGCCCGACATTGACATCAAAGGGCCGAAATTCAAAGGACCAAGCTGGAAGATGCCTTCATTCGGAGGAAAGGCAGATGTTGATCTTCCTGAGGCTGAGCTTGAAGGGCCCCATGTTGACGTTGAGGGACCAGATATGAATTTAGAAAGTCCCGATGCCAAGGGAGGATTCAAGTTCAAAGGTCCAAAATTCGGCAAGCCTGACTTCCACATGAAGAAGCCAACATTCAAGTCTCCATCATTTCGATGGAAAGGTAAGAAAGTCAAGACGCCTTCCGTAGAGATTGATGCCCCATCAGCAGAAATAGGAGCTTTGAATCTGGAAACGCCCGGCCTTGATATCAATGCACCTAAAGTCAGCGGTGAAGTACCCGACATCAACTTGGAAAGCCCTGGATATAAGGGTAAATCTTTGACACTAGGATCCCCAGACCTAGACATAGAAGGACCGAAGGTAAAATCGCCCTCTTGGTTTGACAGAATGAAGGCAAGATTCCGAACACCTTCAGGAAACCTGGAGGGACCCGATGTGAAACTAGACTCACCAGATCTTGATATCGATTCTCCGGACCTGGAAGGGCCAGACGTAGACCTGAAGGGCCCGAAAGTGAAAGGACCGAAATTCAAATTTGGAAAGCCAAAATTCAAATCACCAGACTTTAAGATGAAGGGACCCAACCTGAAAGGACCTTCCTTTGGTGGCCGTCTTTCTGGTGAATTTGAAGCACCCGAAGTTGGAGGTGATGTCGACTTAGGCATAGCAGAAGCAGAGGTTTTGGCACCAGACGCAGACATTCCAGACTGGGACGTAAACGTGGAGGGACCAGAGGTTGAAGGTGGTCTTTCCGGAAAATTCAAGTCTCCAAAACTTAAAGGCCCAGACGTTGATGTGGACGGTCCGGACATTGATGGCAAGTTTAAAGGTCCGAAGTTCCACATGCCGCACTTAAAAATGCCAAAGTTCAAGTCCCCAAAATTTGGCGGGAAGGCAAACATCGACATTCCTGAGGGAGAAGTGGAAGGCCCCGATGTCAGTCTTGATGTTGATGCACCTGATGTAGACATTGAAGGTCCGGAGGTAAAAGGCAAGAAATGGAAGAGGCCAAAATTCAAGGGTCCAGATATTCACATGCCTTCAGTGAAGATGCCCAAGTTCGGAGGAAAAGCTGACATAGACCTCCCAGAGGGGGACATAAAGGGACCAGATGTCGATATCGAGGGACCAGACTTGAAGCTTAGGGGACCAGACGTTGACATTGACGCACCAAAAGTGGATCTTGAAGGACCTGATGTGAAGGGCGGAAAATTCAAAATGCCATCATTCAAAGGCCCAGATTTCAGCCTGCCGAAATTTGGAGGAAAAGCAGGTGTCGACCTACCAGAGGGTAAACTTGAGGGACCTAATGTTGATATTGAAGGGCCAGACGTCAATATAGAAGGTCCAGACGTCGACGTAGACCTTGAAGGACCAGACGTGAAAGGAGGGAAGTTCAAAATGCCCAAGATCAAAGGCCCAGACATCAGCCTGCCCTCAATGAAGATGCCCAAGTTTGGAATGAAGGGTGACGTCGACCTGCCAGAAGGCGAATTCAAGGGACCCAGTGTTGATGTCGAGGGACCAGATGTCAATCTAGAAGGTCCGGACGTTGACGTGGACCTCGAGGGACCAGATGTGAAGGGTGGAAAATTCAAAATGCCAAAATTCAAGGCCCAGACATCAGCATGCCCTCAATGAAAATGCCCAAGTTCGGAATGAAAGGTGACGTTGACCTGCCAGAAGGTGAAATTAGAGGCCCCGACGTGGACCTCGAAGGGCCAGACGTTAACATTAAGGGTCCAGACGTGGACGCCAGTCTTAAAGGTCCGGACGTGGACGTAGATCTTGAGGGACCTGATGTGAAAGGTGGAAAATTCAAAATGCCAAAATTCAAAGGCCCAGATTTCAACATGCCATCAATAGGAATGCCGAAATTCGGGATGAAAGGTGACGTTGACTTGCCAGAAGGTGAAGTTAGAGGCCCTGATGTCGATCTGGAAGGACCTGACGTCAAACTCCGGGGACCAGACGTTGACCTCGAAGGGCCGGATGTTGACCTTGACGGACCTGACGTGAAAGGCGGGAAATTCAAAATGCCCAAAATCAAGGGTCCAGATTTCAGCATGCCGTCAATGAAGATGCCGAAATTTGGAGGAAAAGGCGAGGTTGACCTTCCGGAAGGAGAGCTGGAAGGACCTGATATAGGAGTGAGTGGGCCTGATGTTGATGTGGAGGGTCCTGAAATGAAAGGGAAAATAAAAGGTCCAAAAATCAAGGGTCCAGGCTTTCACCTACCCCATATGAAAATGCCGTCATTCAGAAAACCGAAGTTTGGCGCTGATGTTGATCTACCCGAGGCCGAGGTAAAAGGTCCCGACGTAAATCTGGAAGGACCGGATGTGGACATCAAAGGTCCTGACGTAGATCTGCATGGCCCTGACGTTGACATGGAAGGTCCCGACGTTTCAGGCAAAATCAAAGGTCCCAAAATCAAGGGTCCAGGCTTTCACTTGCCTCACATGAAGATGCCATCCTGGAGAAAGCCCAAACTCGGAGGAAAGGCAAAGATAGACGCACCAGACGTAGAAGGCCCTGATGTTGACTGGGAGGTCCAGGGGCCCGACGTGGATGTGGAAAAGCCAGATATCGATGTTAACGTTGCAGCGCCTGATGTTGATGTCGAAGGCCCTGAAATGAAAGGAAAATTCAAAGGACCAAGCATTAAGGGACCCAACTTTCACATGCCTCACTGGAAAATGCCGAAATTTAAGTCTCCAAAGTTTGGTGGAAAGGCGGACATCGACTTGCCCGAGGGAGAGTTGGAAGGGCCGGACATCAACGTGAAAGGCCCGGATGTTGACATTGACGCACCTGACGTAGACATCGAAGGTCCTGAAATGAAAGGTGGAAAGTTCCACCTGCCCAAGTTTAAGGGACCAGATGTCAGCTTGCCATCGATGAAAATGCCCAAATTCGGTGGAAAAGCTGACCTTGACCTTCCAGAGGGCGAGGTTAGAGGCCCTAGTGTGGACCTGGAGGGCCCAGACGTCAGTGTCGAAGGGCCAGACGTAGATCTTGACCTTGAAGGACCAGACGTCAAGGGGGGAAAGTTCAAAATGCCGTCAATGAAAGGCCCAGACATCAACCTGCCGTCCATGAAGATGCCCAAGTTTGGAATGAAAGGCGGAAAAGCTGATCTTGACTTACCTGAAGGAGAGGTACAAGGACCGTCCGTAGACATTGAAGGTCCTGATATTGACGTCAATGCACCAGATGTGGACATCGAAGGCCCAAACGTTAAAGGTGGAAAATTCAAAATGCCAAAATTCAAGGGTCCAGATTTCAGCATGCCGTCAATAGGGATGCCGAAGTTTGGAGGAAAAGGAGATATTGACCTGCCAGAAGGAGAGGTCAGAGGTCCCAACATTGATGTCGATGTAGAAGGCCCGGATGTTGACCTGAAGGGGCCAAAGGTTGACGTTGATGTGGATGCCCCTGATGTCGATATAGACGGGCCTGAAGTGAAAGGAGGAAAATTCAAAATGCCACATCTGAAGGGCCCTGATATTCACATGCCTTCCTTCAAGATGCCAAAGTTTGGAGGCAAAGCTGACGTTGATCTGCCAGAAGGAGAAATCGAAGGGCCCAAAGTAGATATCGAGGGCCCGGATGTCGATCTGAGGGGCCCTGATGTCGATATCGAAGGACCTGAGGTTAAAGGTGGGAAATTCAAAATGCCAAAGTTCAAGGGTCCCCATTTCGACATGCCATCGATGAAGATGCCTTCATTTGGCGGGAAAGCTGATGTTGATCTCCCGGAAGGTCACGCCGAGGGGCCTGATGTCGACGTAGACCTGAAGGCTGAAGGACCAGACGTGGACATAGACGTGGAGGGGCCAGACGTGAAGGGTGGGAAATTCAAAGGACCTGACTTCCATATCGGAAAACCTAATATCAAAATGCCTTCCTTCAAGAAACCCCACTTCGGTGGAAAGGCTGATGTGGATTTACCGGAAGGGGAACTGGAAGGACCGAACGTTGACGCCAGCCTTAAAGGACCTGACGTTGACATTGACAGTCCTGAGTTGAAAGGGAAGATGTCAAATCCCAAGTTCAAGGGGCCCAGCTTTGATATGCCCTCTGTGAAATTGCCATCCTTCGGCTGGAAACACAAAGGCCCAAAAGCCGATGTAGATCTTCCAGAAGCAGAAGTACAGAGGCCAGACGTCAGCATGGAAGGACCAGATGTAAACCTGAAGGGTCCAGACTTTGATGCAAATCTTGAAAGCCCGGATCTTGATATCGCAGGGCCAGAGGGCAAGGGAAAATTTAAATCACCAAAGTTCAAAGGACCTGGCTTCCATCTGCCACAAGTAAAGTTTCCTTCCTTGGGAAGAAAAGCAAGGCCTCCCTCAGGAGAGATAGGTGTCGATGTCGATGCCCCGAATGTCGGTGTAGAAGGCCCAGACGTTGACGTAGAAGGTCCAGAGGTAAAGGGAAAGATCAAATCTCCAAAATTCAAAGGTCCTGACTTCCACATGCCTCATGTAAAATTTCCCTCTCTGGGAAGAAAAGCAAGGCCTCCTTCAGGGGAGGTAGATGTAGATGTCGATGCTCCGAATGTCAGTGTAGAAGGCCCAGACGTTGACCTGGAAGGTCCAGAGATTAAAGGGAAGACGAAATCTCCAAAATTCAAAGGTCCGGACTTCCACATGCCTCACGTTAAATTTCCCTCTCTGGGAAGAAAAGCAAGGCCTCCCTCTGGGGAGATAGATGTTGATGTCGATGCTCCAAATGTCAGTGTAGAAGGCCCAGACGTCGACCTGGAAGGTCCAGAGATAAAAGGAAAGACGAAATCTCCAAAATTCAAAGGTCCAGACTTCCACATGCCACACATAAAATTCCCTTCTTTGGGCAGAAAAGCAAAGCATCCATCAGGGGACCTTGATATAGACGTCGAAGGTCCAGACGCTAGAGTTGAAGGGCCTGACGTCACAGGTCCAGAAGCTAAAGGCGGGCTATCAGGGAAGTTCTCGGGACCAAAGTTTAGAGGCCCGAAATTCGGCTTTGGAGGAAAGGGCCACGACCTCGACGCGAACCTAGACCTTCCTGAGGGCGAAGTAAGAGGTCCCAGTGCGGACCTGGAAGGTCCGGACGTCGACATGCAGGGACCAGAAGCCGAAGGGTCTTGGAAATTCAAAGGACCCGATTTCAACTTCAAAAAACCTAAGTTTGGTTTCGGCGCCAAGTCGCCTGAGCTGAACGGTGAGGGTGACTTGCCACAAGCACACGTACAGGGTCCCGATGTAAATATCAATGGAACAGGTGACGTGGAAGCACCGCATGTCAAGGGTGGAATTTCTGGCAGATTTGACGCGCCAAAGTTCAAGGGACCTTCATTCGGATTTGGCGCGAAAAGACCAAAAGTAGATATTGAATCGCCAGACGCGGAACTTTCGGGTCCAGATGCCCCAGATGTAGACGTTGAAGGGTCGAAAGGTGGCATACACATCCCGCGTTTTAGATTCGGGGCGAAAAAGCCTTCGACGGACGCCGACGTAGACATAGCTGTAGGGGAGGTTCATGCTCCCGACGCGGAGATAAGTTCACCAGACTGGAGAACTGACGTAGATGCGCCCGAGGTGAAGGGTAGAGCCTCCGGACGTTTCGGGAAAGTTAAGGGATTCAAAGGACCAAAGTTTGGAGGATTTAAAGTTAGTGGAAAGGGAGGGGATGTAGATACAGATGTAGACTATCCAGAGGGTTCATCACCCAACGCGGACTTTGAGGGATCGGATGTAAGAGTTAGAGGGCCAAAGGTTAAGGGTGGCTTTTCTCACAGAATGAGAAACCTTAAGGATGAATTGAAAGATGCGGCACAGGCAGTTAAGGAAGGTCTAACAGGCGCGCCAGATGAGATCAAAGGTGGAGTAAGGACGGAAGGGAGGTATGGTGGTACGTTAAAAGGAAATCTACCAAGCCCTGAAGGCGACGCCTCCTCCGCCAGACCTCTTGCCATACCCGACGTCAGCGGAGAAGGGTCTCTCAAGACCTACAGAAGACCGGAGGCATCTCTGTCTGCGCCCGACGCCAGCGCTGAGGGAGCGGCCGAGGGTTACAGCACCAGCGTGACGATCAAGAGCAGCCCGTCCAGATTCAGATCGTCCAAGCACGTCACCGTGGGAGGACAGGTTGGTCTTAGAGACAGATAGTGACTGGTTATGGTGCTGGTGATAGAAGAAGGTGTCAGGTGGTTTCCTGTGGCGACTTTGCTAATCTTCACAGTGACTTAGCCTCTCACTCTAGTACTCGCAACTGTAGGCTCCACTCTCGTGACCCATCAAGCAGATTTGTTCGTCTCCCCCTGCAACTTTCTGTTGGGAGGACAGACGTGGCAGTAACGAGACAGAGGTGCACTAACACTAACCCGCATGCTAGGGTGGAAATATATGACAGGAGTAACTTTCATGGGAAACCCGTCATCATTCCACATACAGCGATTCACCTCTTCATACAGTCTGTCTATTCAACATCAAATCTTCAAGCTCAAGTGTTCATCATCTGTCCTACTGCGTGTAGACTAGACCATTTGATGCGTGACAGATATGACAGCTGTGTAAAAGATCGATGCTGTACGCATCACACAAGACTGATACTTCCCTGTCGTAAAAAGGCTTATCGCTAACACTTCTCCACTACTATCCTCTACCGTCAACACACAGACCAGACGTCTCTGAAGAGCTGGTTTGGTTTACCTTCCTGGCACTTGGATAGCAACGACTTCACGTTCATGATCACGTAACAAACCAATAGAACTCATTTAACACCAATGGGATGCTGAACTAACTACATTGAAGACATCTGTGAACTATCTGCTTCCGGGTCACTGCTTACTTTCCTCTTGCGTCACTTCCTTCCTCCTATTACTAGAATTAGTAGCTTCATCTACAAACTAAAATGGCGACCATGTCCATCTTCCGAAAAGTAAGTTTGCTCTGTTGCTTCTTACACATGCTTGCTTCTCTACTTTGCATTTGATTCCATCATAAGAATTTGTTTAGATCAAAGATTCAAATGCCAAGAAGTGTTTGTGGACACTGCATTTCTCTTGGCGTGATTTTATTGCACGACTCTCTGCTAATTAACTATAAAACCTTGCACGAGGAATATTTTCAGTCCGTCTGTATCTTTACATGTCTGGTTCTTACATTTTGTGTTCATTGTATCCGTTGATGGACTAACTTCATCATGGTCATTTCTAACTCCCGTTGCCTCTTTGGTACTCTGTTCACGTCATAACAGGACACAAAAACGACATATGTGTCGACCGTAACCAAGACCACTAAGACCGTGTTGGTGGATGTTGAGGCTCAGGGTAAGGCAGCGGAAGAGGGGGCGAGCGATCTTCTCGCCGACATACAGGACGCCCTGGCAGTGGGCGGAGACTCTAAGGTAGAACCATGTTGTAACTAAAAAACAGACTACTATAAAACTTCGTAGCCGAAAAAGTTCCCTACAGTTGATCAGAGGCATAGCAAACGTTTCATACTTCCTCCTTTCACATTTCATCTTGTCATGTAGTCAGAGTAACCTGTGTTTCCAACAGACACTTTCAAGCGACGTTAACTTTATATGTACAACTAACTTTTCCGATCGATGAAAAACGAAGCCATTGATTGGACAGCGCCCAGTTGACGTCATTCGACGTCACCAGGGTGTCTGAGGCCGGTCACAAAAGTTCATATACAACATATAACATTCAGCACGGCGTTTACTTACATTCAGGTTTGATTGCCCGATGGAGATCCCTTTGATTAAAAGAGACCAATCATGGAGATGGAGTACTGTTCGTATCGGAAGCTTGGCACTTGCTTGTAGGCGGGCATTATTGGAATCATCCATTTTAGGGTGGGATCGATGTGGGATGTCTGGGGGCTTTCCAAAGGCCATGCCGGCGTGTCTAATAAATAGCCCCCCTCAAAGTGGAAAGCACCGTACCCATAATGTCTGTATGTAAGATTGATGAAGGGATTTTAAAGTAGAGAAAAATCTTTTTCTAGGAGTAGGTACATTCAACGTGGATGTTTTTTTTTTTGGGGGGGGGGCAACTTTATAGCTGTGCGTACGGTCGTACTGGTGCAATGTTAGGTGGTTTACAAACATTCAAGTTGCAGTTCATATCGTATCATATCATTACGTTCATGGACAATGTCAAATGACCAAGGTAGAAGGAAAAGGAGGGTTCAAACGGACAATCTCGATTTCGGGAAAACTTGAGCCAAATGACCATATAAGGTTGTCGACCCCAAAATACATTAAAAATTGATAATGATAACTGATGAGACCTCGAAGATAAAAATACACAAAATGTTTTTTCAATGAGTACACCTAAAACGTGTGACTCATGCTGCAAGTATGAACCCTCTGGGATGTTCTAACGGTACCATTACTACATACCAGCCGTGTGAGAACCTTGTTACACCTGGTCCCGCCTGACGTCGCCTTTGTTGTTCTTTATCCACCCGCAGGTGTCGGCGAGTGCGTCGTCCGAGGGAGTTGACGTCAGACTAAAAGGCCCGGAATAATGAAGAAAAATAACAGGTATGGCACAACTCCGCTGGGTATAAATAAAGTGAGCTAGTTCCCAGTTCCTACTTGATATTCGTTCCTTAAAACTAAAAGGTGCAAGGCTTAGACTTGCTTTGCTCTATTTTATGTTGAAGATGATAGAGACCTTTGATGAAAATGTAAAATTACTGCTCTCCATTTTTGCAAACTTTTAAGTAGTTTCCCTGTATATTCCATTAGGCTTTACAAATGGATTGTTTCTATTAATTACGTTGAGGGAAAACAACAGTTGGTCGGTCTTGACTCGGCGCCAACTTCGCTCTCAGACACCGGTAACGCGTTATACGCCCACGGTGGAAGGAAAGATTCCCTCAGAGGGCTGGCCTGCACTTCCTGAAGGTGTTTAATGCACGTTAGCCTCCTGTGCAGGCCTCTGGGCGGGAGAGAGTTTTGATACTGCGTTTTGTAGAATTTTTAACGCGTTCTTTTGCCGGCTATTCTACAACCAGCAGGTACAAACCTTCTCTGAGCGGCTGGTTGTAGGATGGCCGGCAGAAAAACGTGTTAAAAATTCTACAAAACGCAGTATCAAAACTCCCACCCGCCCGGAGGCCTGCACAAGAGGCTAAATACAGGTATAAAGGGGGGATTCTCACCAAGTAGGGAGCCAATAGAGGCAGTGGGGACAGGGTACAAAAACAAGTCGCTTGTTTGCTAGCCCACCTTGAGTGCAAATCTTGAGTCTTAAGACACCGCAGCGCGGGGATCAAGACAAGACAAGTTTGAACTTTTCTTGAGCTGCTGAGGGATGGGGTGGATTGTGGGATCATCTCCGAAGGCTTTAAGATAATTCTCAGAGTGTATCTGCGTTGGGAAGAAGACGAAGCCTGACATTTATGTTGAGTCTGCTGAGACGAAGACCCAAAAATGAGTACACAAATAAAGTTGTATCCAGCAAAAGAAAAAAGGACAAAAAGCTTAACCGGAATGAGGAAATTGGTGATTTGCGAACAATTCTGTTCTTCCTATACTGGAACGTCCATGACAAAATGTCACCTTTTATACATTTTTTTTCATCCCTGTCAAAAGATCCAACTGAATTATCACTCATCTTGAGGTGTGATAACAACTGCGCAGACCTGGTTTTTAAAGTATCCAGCTGGGGGTCAAGTTGAAGGTGAAGCATGTACCGTGATCTCTGGCGCCAGCGCTAGTCATCGGGAGGATTACACGCGCAGATGGTCATTAGGGAACCGGTTCCAGTCATCAAGTCTCGTTAGTCAGACTAGGATTGTGAATTAGCAGCCAGAGGCCTTTTTTGTGTATCCCTATTATGTTCCACAATCATGAGGTAGTTATAAGGTCTTACATGTCTGATTCGGTGGCCTTACCATTTTGAATGAGAGTCCACGTCTAAATATAGACTGAAATTCAAATAGCACAATTCTCGCAAACAATGAGAATCCCTCTTAAGCCTCCATTCAAATGTTGGACTCAGCGCCACAAAGTGTTGCTGACGTTTGTACAAAAGCAAGGATTCCTGAAATGCCTTTCCTATTAAACGGTCGTTCTGCGCCAAAACAAATGCCCTTGATGCTGACCTTGTCCCTAAAGGCAGGCTCCCTCATTTTATTCTGACAGTTTCCTTAGTCTAATGACTGGCGGGAGGTCCTTAACAACAGTTTGTTGTGTGTGTCTACCACAGCTGCGTGGAAGGAAAGGTTATAGGCACTGCTGATACTCTGGGTGATACCCTGATATTGTCAAAACTCAGGAAACGCGTGACGATATGAACCAGGCACGGAAAGACTACTTGTGTATGGCACGTTTAGAGGCGCACCGGTCAATGCTATCCAGGAAGGGGGATGAGTAGGATGTCCCTGATTCTTTTCTATCAAAAGATATTTCTATCTCTCTACAGAGAGTTTTACATTGTGGAGACAACTGTTTGTTTGGGCATTCGGTGTCTATTTCGTGTATGTTACGAAATACCATGTATACTCATACACGTATGTAAAATGTCTGCAAACACCCAACTGCTAGAAAGACCTTTGCTGTTGTTATTGGAATGCCCCCGTGACCCATCCAGCAACATTATGGATAAATCAGACAATGGGACGATTCTTTGCTAGGATAATCACTTCTCTCCATGCATAAAAAACGGAAGTGGGCGACCGTGAACTTTGACCATTTGCGCTGAGGATGAGGTCATGACAGATCTTTTTATCTGTTTTCCACAGACGTCAGATGATGCATCGCTGTACTGATCGCCCCATCATCCGGCTGAAGTCACGTCTGTCCAGAGCGCCAGCCCAAAACGACTCTGGCGACGCGGGCTTCTGCTTCAGCTGCAGTTCCAAACTCTTCCGCAAGGCATCGCTGCTTTGGAATCACCGCTGTATTTACCCACTTAAACTACGTACTCTGAGCCAAACTTCTTCATTCTACAAGAAACAAAACAAAAACAAAACAACAACAAAAACTACATGTCACATTTACGACAATCGTGTCATTCCTGCTACGTAAAGACCATGCATTTTTGGTAATCAGCTGTCCAAGATTGTGCAGTTTTGTATATGTAGATTTGTCGTCTGAAAAGAGAGGAGAAAAGAAAAAATAATCAATAGCTAGAATTAGCCGGTAACAGAAATAGCTAACGTACAGCTTTGAATGTTGTAGTGTAATTAGTCATTAAAGGGCCAGACTAATGCGAGATCGCTTGTCTCTACAGTAATAGTTAACAGCAAGCAACGTATGGGAAACTACAATTCGTGTAAAGCAGATACGCAAAAGAAGAGGAAGAAAAAAATGAAAGAAAAAAAAATGAATGCAGTCGCACAGTGCGATCGTTTCTGGAAGGGACGTACCATTATTTTCCCTGATGGGAGCTACCCACCACAACGGATGTACAAATGTGTTACCCCCATGGTTCGTTTTAACATCACGATTTCATGTGTATGAAAGTTGAATGAAACTGTTTTTACCTAAATTTTTACTTTTATAAAGTGCTTTCGACTGAATTTCGTGAATCCAAGAAAACAACTCATCCAACAATCTCTCCGGATTTGGTGCCATTTCCATTGTCTCGAAGATTTTTTACCATTTATAGAAAACATCATGATGACTTTTTGGAATAGGTTGTAAAATACTTTCATTCCTCCCAGCGAAAATAATAGTATGTCCCGGCCGAGTGTTGCTACCGTAGCTAGAAATCCGTAGGCGTAGTTCTCACCTGTTTCTTGTGTTCTTTCATTAAACTGAGAATGTATTAGAGTTATTGATATGATATTATATCTGTACACGTTGATCGACAAGGCAGTGTGACTCTTCCGCTGAAACTGTAGACATATGTAGCTTTAAATATGATGAATGGACCATTTTCAAAATAATAAAAGTGACGCCATAGTATAGTGCGTGAGATATGATGAGAATACCAGACTGTGTGCGTAATATAATCAGTAATCGTCCCTGGAGTGTATGACTTCACTGGAGTAACGCAATATGTCGCTAGCTCGTCGTTTGTCGACGTCGATTCAGCTCTATTGACTGGCTTCGATGATGTATGTGTATGTTGTGCGACGAATAAAGGAACGAGTGTACGGATCTGTAGCCCCTGGTCTGAGTTTCGTCGGTGTATGCTTAATTGCATGTGAGGTTTTATGATAGAATTTCTAGCATTAATCTAGACATATGGTGTTTGCAACTACCCTTCTCATGATTTACTGTCAACCTGCCTCAGTAGCTTTTGAAATAAACTGGAATGCTTTTACGTCAATGAAGGTTAGACCTCTAGGTAATAGGATACCCAGGAAACTTCTTCGGTTTTAACCAGATGCATTTTTAAAAACCTATCTAGGTTCTTGAGTAACACAATTTCCTTGTAGATTACTACAAGAAGCTTTCATCACCTTGATTACTATTAGTGCATGTGTATCCTCATCTCTACAGCAGATCGTATTTCATCTAGCTAGCTGACAGTACAGAACGTGTGCTGTTAAAAATAAAACGGCTTTCGGTGGTAAATGTTAGTCTCCACCAGACTTCCACCGACGCCCACCGAGCCTCTTAGGCTAGTATGTCTGACTGTGTGCCAAAAACACACTACGGATTTGGTGCGCCAATGTGTCAACATCAGCACATTTGCCTAGTCTCCACTAGACTTCTTTTGTCAGGCTGAATAAATCGTAGAAATCGGCCTAAAAAGGGTATTAATTGGCCAGAGAAGGTAGCCGGCCAAAGAAGCTCCATTTGCCTGCCAAGAATGGAGCTTCTCTGGCCGGCTACCTTCTCTGGCCAATTAATACCCTTTTAGGCCGATTTCTACGATTTATTCAGCCTGC